TGAAAGGTAAAACTCAACAACTTCAGCTTAAAAAAAAACAACCTTCGCCCTCTTTTTGCCACATTTTTCTTCTTGGGCATTTATTTAGTTGATTTAGTACAAGAAATACTCACTCCACAAAGTTATTCATTGCAGCTCGGGGATTGCAGGATACATAAATGAGCTTCTTGAGATGTTCAGCTCTTCTAATTGCAAGAATTACCTTAGAATCTAGATGACCAAAAGCAAGAGAGAGATGTTCTATATTTTTGCATGCAGCAGTGGATTTGCAGAAAAACTCCCAAGTTAAATTTCCTCAAGAATGAACACGCTGCTGCATGATCCACCTGCTTCGAGTAATACTTGAAGTCTCCCACTCACTGTATTCCAACTTATACTCAGTGGTGTTTTCTTAGGCATTACAGCACTAACGACCAATTAAGAGAATGGACTTAAAAAAGGTAAACTTACGCAGTCCTGCTCGTGGCGGATCTACAATAGTAATCAGGTTCTGGGGAGCCAGTATGTTAATTAAGGAAGGAACAATATCTTCAGCCTTCCCGCAATGAAATTCAACATTATTCAGCTCTGGAAAAAGAAAAAAATATATATATATTGGAATGCTTCTCTAGTCAAAGCATCTTTTAGGCAACTCGCACAAGCTGTAAATTTGTGTTTGATGCCTTAGAAAATACATGTTGTTTAGCCTGCCCTAAAAAGCAGTAGTGCTTCAGATAAACAGCAGTAACTTTAGCATTTTCCAGTATCTAGAAACAACACAAAACAGGCTACCATAATGTTTTAAGGGTTGTGCTTGGTTTGACATTTACATTGCAATGTTCTGGGGTGGGTGTGTGTATATATTTTAGCCTATATATAGGCTCTTAGTCAAGAGGAAAATGGATCAGACTGACTGGTTCTCTGTTTTTGAGAGAGATGAAATGGTTAAAACAGACAAGATTACTGCAAGAACAGCAACATGGACAAAATGCAGAGAACCTAGGTGTACAAATACTACAGTTCTTAACAAAGAAAGATCTTAGCATTTAGTTTAACCAACCATTCATCTGGGCATTCACCCTGGCATCCTGCACAGCTTCTTGGCAGAGTTCAACTCCAATAACTTTCTTTACTTTCTACAAAATCAAAGGAGAGAGATCAGTTGATAAGTATATGTTCATCAGTCACTTACAGCATTCAGCAATTACCTACCACTACTCCACTAACTTTGACTACTGCTTGATCAGAGAACTGCCTTGCAGACAGAAAAAAAACCAGCTGAGAAGGCACCTGTGCAAATAGGGAATTTCAGACTGAAAGTGTGGGATGAACACTGCTTATCTCAGCCTGTACATGGCAGACTCCAGTTATGTCAAGGGGTTTCTCCTCTGGGGCCAGACTTCCCTAAGTGCTCTAGGTTAAGCTTTGGTAATGATTTGGCTAAGCAGTTGTGGCCAATTTCATTAGAAATGAATTACGGTGAAGATATGATGCATTTCTTTCAAATACATCAGGTGTTTTCCTTCACTACAAGCACAATGGAAGATCTGAAGTCTACTTCAGATTTACGTTTAGGTCCAAAAGAAGTTACCTTTGCCAAAGAAATCCCAATAGTTCCTGTGCCACAGCAGATGTCCAGGACAGTACTCTCTTGGTTCAGCTGGGCCCACTCCCTGATGGTGGTGTACAACACTTCTGCAGCCTCTGTATTCACCTGTCACATTGCATATTAAATGGCTCCACTTTTTCCACAAACAGCAAATATGTTTCAGTGAGTCTTAGGAACATATTTGCCTTGTTTTTAAGAAACAAGTCAAGCTTTCTTTCTTTTCCTAGAATGCAATAATATAAATACAGTTAACAACTTACTTGAAAAAAAGCATGAGGAGAAATTCTAAATTTCAGGCCAAGAAGTTCTTCATATATGTATTTATCACCAGCCACGTGCTCCAAAGGCAGGTCTTCTAGATTGGGAGATTTTCTGGAAGAGGGGAAAAAAAAAGGTAGCATGTCTGCTAGTACAACAGTTCTGCTGTTTTAGCTAAGGTACAGAAGAAATAAAGCTGTAGAAGTACCACCTACTGCTCTGCTGCAAACAAAGAAATTCAGGCACCATGAAAATCCCCCAAAGTAAAGTCATAACCTCACCTACCTTTGGCCTTCTTCCACGAAGTATAGAGAAGTCACCCCACTGGCCTTCCCCATCCCTTCTGTAAAGTACTTTGCCAGAGAGATTTTCAGGTCAGCAAGCTCTTCTTTGCTTAATTTCTGAGAGTTTCATATAAAAGGAAGGAAAACAATAAACTTAGTTTTTTTTCTTTTTCTTTTTTTTTTTAAGAAATAGAACAATTTAGTATATACCTTCTACAGAAACATTACTCTTGTTTACTTGTCTATATCAAATTACTCCAGATTAAAAAAAAGTACTGATGCAAGGTAAACAATATGAACTGATGGTTCTATTTCTCTTTCACGCATAATATTCATAAAATCAAATGTATGTAATTTTAAAGCTGTGTGACTGGGCTGCACATTATACATCATCTTAAATACCTGAGGGTTAAAATAAACAATTGCCATGATGTGGTTGTTCCTGCTGGTACGGACTGTGAGCTGTTTCCAGTGACCTTCGTAGGTTTCTGGGCTGTAAACTGAGTAAGGAGTTGACCTGCAATTTTCAAAAGCTCTGTTACCAACGAGAGAACTATTTTTTACACGACATTCAATAGTTTATCTACACAAAAGTAGGAAAAAAACAAAAACAACAAAAAAAACTCAGGCTGACAAATAAGTCCTGTCTCCTAGTGCAGGAGACATCACCTAATTCTCTGCTCCTAATTCTCACCATCCCTTTCAATGAAGCCAAAGTTGCCAATATGATACAGACAGCTTCCTCCCAGAATGACACAAGTCTTTGATAAATGCTTTCACCTTGTTCTGTTGTTTGTACCAAGTTTAAACTTCAAATCTTCAACCTTCTTCCTGCCTCTCAATATCTATGGATTTAACTTTGTTGTCTTCTTTCAAAAGTACTGCTACTTAGAAATTTATTGTTTTTACTAGGATGATTTCTCTCTAAATCAACCAAGCAAGCAATTGACACTTGTTATTCATCTTTTAAAAAAGATTTTTCTGTGAGTAATTGCAAAAAAGCTGTGCTAAACTGGTACCTGCCTCTCCATCTCAGAAGAGCTGAGAAGTGACAAATAACCAATGATCTAGGTGCAAAATGTAATTGCTAAAGCATGAGACTACCACACATAAGGTCTTAAAACTCAGAACAAACACTAAGTTTCTCAAATATTTCATTTTATGATTTTTTTTTGAGTAGAGATCAAAACCATTACAGAGAACTCACTTTATCAAAGGCTCACCTTATGTAGTCTTGAAAAGCTTTTACTATTTTTTTTGCAATAGCAG